CTAACTTAAATTTTCCACGGGTTGGCGTACGTCGACTTACCGGTCGACGCATACTGTTAGCATTTCTGTTTGTCAAAAAATGCAGACTTTGCGTCGACGCATAGTCTTGTTTCGGTCGACGCATAGATGTTTATTTTGCATAATCTATTTTCACATGTTAGTTCTGGTCGACTGCTGCCTTCTGCATAGGTCGACGTTCGTTATTTGCTGCATAATCTTTGGTCTGTCTATCTTTTTTGAAAAGTGGTTGTGTCAGTTATTTTTGGCATGATATAAATAGAAAGTTGCTCATTTCATTTCATAACAATTGAATCAATTAGAAAATAAGAAAAGTGAAAGATGTGCCAATTAGTTCTCATCATCTTCATCTTCTACATTTCATACCACAACAATCACACACAATAATCTTTATTGTGCATTATGGATTGTTTGAAGTGATAACGTTCGAAGCCGTTGATTGGGAATCTGGTTCGGGTTGAGATTTTGGCAGGTTTTTCTTGAATAAAACCTTTAGGATTTTGTCCTCCAAGATTCTTTGCATTTGGGGGTTTTTGGTATGAATCTTCTCAACATATATTCTACTGAGCGAAGGTGATCGAGGAGCGGTGGGTTCTGTCGATCCAGTAGCGTTAATCAGTTAATTGTGAAGGAGGAGTTCGGATTCGATTATCAAGTGTGTGAGATCAGCCAGGCTGGGGTTTGAAAATGTAAGGGTGTTCAAACAAAGAGTTGTAATGGGAGGTTCATCCAAAAGCTATCAAAGGACTTGATTCGGCTCGAATCAAGGGACAAGAAGAGAAAGCATCTTCAACAACAAGGGAGTTTATTTGTGCATTTGCTATTCTATTCTTGTATAAACGATTCCGCAACAGGTTACATTTATATTATACGAGCTCAATTCTATTATTAGAATTGAGGGAAAACGTACCCCGAAGCGAGGACGGCGGGGGAACTGCCTCAACAAATCCTTGTGCCTTTTACATTACGCTTTTACATTTGCTTAATATTTCCGAGATTTTCGTACAAACAATTATATCGATCTTAGGATTGTTTTGAGTAAGTGCTAAATTAATTTTGACTCTAGTACAAGTGTTTATTGTACAAGGAAACTAGAGCTACTTACTCAAAGTCGAACTCACTTGGAGTGCTCTGCACGCCAAGTGTTTGATAAATTGTCTGAACCAAATTTCTCGTGTGCTATCCATTTATTTTGTTGGCATTTTAAGGCATTGGAACTAGTCATACCAAGTAGTGATCTAAATTAAATTGGTAGTGTGACTAGCGTGGTGATTCTCATTTCTCATTATCAATTTCCATAAGCTAGATGCATATCCGGTCTTCTAGTAAAGGTTCGTTATAGACGGTAATTTTTCCAAGGCCGCTTCCGCAAATTAAACAAATTTTTTAAAACCATTTTATTGGTAGCGCCGACTCATTTTTTAAATAAGGGATCTATTCAACCCCCCTTCTAGATCCGTGCCATCGTCTAACAAATCATGGGTCTCCACTTGGTATAAGTCCCTTCCCTTTTAAACTCACACCATGATTAAATATTTGTTCATGTGAGTACTTTGTATAAAACCTTTTAGGCTTCTATTAGAGTGTAAGACCCAATACTTTTTTTAATTCAAGCATGCTTGGACATGGGCCTGTATTAGAGTGTAAGTCTCTCCCCTCTTCTCAAAACTTTCTTCAATTTCTCAAAACTTTCAATCTTTCCAATCTCATATCTTCAACTTTCATCAAACAAAGCCCTAGTGGCATTCATATTCAAATTAAAACCTTTATGCCTCTATTAGAGTGTAAGATCCTCCACCTTAAATTCATATCTATACTTGTTAAATACTTGTCATATACTTATTCATATTAAGTTACTCTTGACATTTATAATACCTCATCCTTAGTTTAGACTTGTTTCAAACATTAGGCTTCCCTCAACCACAACTCAGTTTAAAACACTAATCACCCTTTGGATGAAGTCAACTTCACCATAACCTCTTCTTGGGCTTTATCCAAACACCCTAGCCTCCTGTTAGGCTTCATACAAGATACCATTACTTCAAAACTTCCCCCAATTAAGTCAATCTCCTCTCAGGCTATAACAAACTTTTTTTAGCTTCACATCTTGGACTTTGAACAAGAAACAAATAAACTTTTTTTTAGCTTCACATCTTGCGCTTTGAACAAGATACAAATATTTTTAGCTTCACATCTTGGGATTTGAATAAGATACTCAAATAATTCAACTTCTCCTCAGAGATGAGTCATTGAGTCATCTCTGTAGGAATATATCTCTTCTATACACCATAATTCAAAATCAAACATTAAAAACTTTTTCCATATAAGTGATGTAAGTGGCACACTTGTTGATTTAAAATCCAAGCTGGAGTCCCTCTCTTATCATGGTACAAAAATTTTCTTTCATCTAAGTGATATAAGTGGCACACTTGTTGATACTATATCCAAGTTAAGGTATTTCTCTTATCATGCAAAGACTCATAAAGGAAGTTGTGGCATTGCTTAAGATTCATTAACATCCAAGTTCAAATCTTCTTTCCTTTATGATATCATCCTCAAATGTTTGTGATGAATAAGTGGGATATCTTCCTTTAGAATGACAATTTATCTTTTCTTTCAAACCAACAAAACTTTTAGCTTCATATCTCGGGCTTTGAACAAGATACACAAATACCCTTTTAAACTTCATCATCTTGGGCTTTGAACAAGATACAAATTCCACTCATAGTTAGGTGGAACTACGAACGCTCTGATTTCTCAATTTCCTTTTGAGAATACGTAGGCATAAGATTGCAAGATCTTAGCTAACACATCTTTAAATAAAACCCCTTAGGTCCACGTACCTTTCATAAAACAAAAACTCCCAAAACATCTCATAGTATTGTTCTCGCCCATAGGTTAAAACTTTCCCAATCGACAGTAAACTAATGAAATGATTGATAGTACAAAGTGCACAAAAGGTTCATATAGAGTACTATAGATACACATGGTGTTAATAACTTCCCTTAGTATAACCAACCCCCGATCCATATCTCTTTACATTTGTAGGAATAACACTTGCACACAAAGTTAATTTAGGTTTCTTCCCCTTCCTTTTAAGCAACATAGGATAAATATTATAAATTCAAAAGTGGCATCAAGCACGGTTCACGGGAATCTCACCATCTCAGGATTGGTGGGGTAACCAAAATCGGTCCACAGTACCACCATTGGTACCACCATTGGTTGAGATCTCCTAAAATACGTTCGAAAACACTCAAGTGATCTAAAGAAGAGGAAACATCATCACTAACTAGTGTAGGGAGACATGTCATTTTCTCCTAGCGAAATGTTACCTCCTACAAGAAATACATTTAATGCACCTATACCCAAAGGCAGCGACTTCCCATCAAAGACTTCCACTACCTCGAATTTTGTGGAAAATTAAAGAACACATGTCATAAATTCTTGTGCTACAAAGAAGAAACAAAGGTCTGGGGACAACTGTTGTGGGCCATCCAAAAGACCCAAGGATAGAGGCCTAATAGTGAAGCAAAAGGAATAAAGTGAAGAATTGACTCTTTTCCCTCTCTAAGTAAGCAATTCTACGCGCAAGAACCTTGTTGACTATCCAGATTGATGTGATGGTTGACCGCGATCCACACCTCACCTCACGATTTAAGAAGGAAAACCCACAATTTCTCAAGTATTCAAATTCATTTTCATTCTCACATCATTTTTCACTTTCATACTGACTTGAACGTTGTAGTGATAACCTCACAAGTCAACTCCCTCCACCACATTTAAAGCTCATAACCATCACACCAAACTTTGTCTCCTTGCTTTCCAATCAAGTCGGGTCACTACAAAAAAATTTCAATACAACTTATTTTCTTTACTTCATCAAACATTATATATTTTTAGAAAAATCTCACACATATCCTATATTTATTTTAAATCTTTATCAGTGTCGTAGTACTCGTATAGTATCCCGATATCCATGTTGAAATGTGTGTTTATAGCTTTTAATTTTAATTTTTAATAATATTAAAATTTGCTTGAAAAACATGAAAATTTAAAACACATCCTCATGCACAACAAAGAAGTACGATTCATTTTGTCAATTTCATTATAACTAACTATATTTAATCATTTTGGCCATAATTGTACTCTATTACTACTAATGTTACTAAATTCATGTGACTTTCCCCTCTCTCCCACTCACACACTCACCCCCCCTTCATCATGGTCCCAATTTGGATGTATTCAACATGCTTTTTCCCCTTTTCTTTTGAAGGGTTAAAAATAAGTATCCCAAGATTAAAGAAAAAAAAAGCTTCTCAAAATGTGAGACCAAAAGAAGTCTAGGAATTTGAAGTTTCTATTAAGATGATTTAAAAACAAAAGTTAGATGTACTATACTTTATAGCAGCAGCCGGTCAGATGAAACTAAAGCTTGATTAAACGTGACAAAAATAATGCATGGGGATTCATTATACATTTTTCATGAAATTGAGTTATCATAGTACAATTCATTTCCATGAGAAAAAGATTCATAAAATTTCCTAACAAATGTGTGATTTTTTTTCATATAAAAAGTTTTTATTTACCCTTTTTGGGAATGAAATGATATAAAGAAAATTGACTTAGATGAAACAAATAAAGGACTATATACCATGCAATATTAGAAATTTTCACACAAAGCAAAGAAATTACCATTGAACAACCATATAAACAAATACATAAGACATGTTTCAAACATCAATCTCCTATTTGCTATACTTAAATAAGAAACCATTAAAATTGGTTGTCATCTAGATAAAAATAAAGTAATTGGACTCAAAGCGGTTCGGAAGAATCTGAGTTCAAATCCTGACAAAAACAAATTGATCAGATTTTACTTATCTCTCGACCGAATTTCTGATTACATTGTAACCGTTTCTATTATATGATCATAATAATCTAGGGCTGTCTGAGGAACCAAAAGCACTAGATTTATAGGATCATAACAACTCACTTGATGAAGGAGTGAAACTAGGGACTTCATTCCAAAATAGATCATTACTATTTCCTGAACCACTCAATAGATTCTTTGGCAAACTCAACCTTTGGTGATTATTTTCTTCCATTTTCACCATTCCAATACTAGCACTTGAAGAATCCATTGCCTTAGAACTTATGAAACTTCTTGGAGTTTCGCCATTATTTTCTCCACCAAATTGAAATAATCCAATTTGTGGTTCCAAATTTGTCATGAAAGGGAATTGTTGATGATTCGGTCGTTGTTGTTGTTGTTGCTGTTGCTGTTGTTGTAATGAATTCAGAAACCTCCATTGTTCACCAACTGAAGAATCTCTACCAAGTTGATACTCAACATTAGTAGTATTGGTAATATTTTTGGCCACCATAGAACCAATGCCTTGAGAAACATAGCCATTATTGTTATAATGATGCAAAGAAGGAAAAAATGGGAATTGAGTTGGAAAGTGAGAAATTCCCAAATTCACATTAGAATTATTGCATCCATTATTATTATTATTAGAAGAAGATTTTGCATTTTCTGAGGTACAACCACCCGCGATAGCAATGGTACCGACCTGGCGATGATCATTACTTCGATTAGGTTTCGAAGGCGGTTTTGATACTGAATTTCCTTTGCTTCTTTTATTATTCTTTCTACAACCACCTCCAACAGGAACACTTCTAAGTGCACCACCTCTAGTCCAATATCGACGACAAGCTTTGCAAAAATGACGAGGCTGCGAAAGACTATAGTTGTTGTAGTAGCAAAACTTTGTGTTTGTTGATTCACATCTTGGACATTTTTGTGCAGCAGCAGAAGCAGCATCGTTTTGGTTTATCTTTAACATCCTAGCTCGATCCGTCATTGATCCCGGTCTTATAGACCCTTGGTAGCAGCCATCAGTTTCAACTGTTACAGCAGTAACAGTTGAAGCTGATGGCTGCTGCAGATGGGACGGATTTTGAGTTCCAATATCAATTCCTGCTTGCTAGTTATAATATTTTCACAAAAGTATAAGAAAAATAATAAATAAATAAATAAAATTATATAATATTTTACACACATGTACAATAGTATATTCAAGAAGAAAAAAAAGCTTGATTATAAAGTATGTTAGAATATCTGTTTTCTGTTCAATTATATCTTAGCTTTATTGAAGAACAAGCTAAAGAAAGAAAGAAAAAGTGAAAAAAAATGGAAGCTAGAGAATGAAAGAATGAATACCTGTTGTGACCAGTTGGTTGGATCTAGATAGATTGGAAGAGAGGGGAAGACCATGGTTGTATTGTATCTTTTGCAAAAGTTTGATGAGTTTTTTCTTAGGATATGCTAGTGTGTGTGGGTGGAGAATCACATCAAAATGAGAGAGTTGCAGAGAAAAAGAGATCACAGAGATGGAAAAAAAGATAAAGGAGTTTTGTGGGGGTGTGTAGTGTTTATATTTATTTTAGTTCTTGTTTATTTTCTCTTCCTTCTCTTTTTGTATTTTATTAAAATTAAATTTGTGTGATTATTGAAGAGCACCAAACGTGTTTCTTATTCCATAAGTATCTTTGTTTTATTCTTTTACTGTGGCATTATTTCTAAATTAGACTTTATAGTGTTAAATCATCATGCATGTGTTAAAGAGAGAAAACCCTAACCCTAAATTTAAATTAATATATGGTAGGTAGTATAGTGCATTCTAACAATAATTAGAAATGATAGAAATTAGGAGTGTTTTTTTAAAGATTAGGGTTATTAGTAAATGATAGGGTTTATGTTGAGTTTTTTAATTTATTTATGTATTGAGGTAAAAATATCAGTTTTTATTCCGATCGATCTTGGTCTTAATGTAGCTATCATACTCGGTTAGTAGTTAATAATTTCACTTTTAATGGTGGACGTGTTTGTTGGAATGTTGATTCATAAAGATTTGCTTTTATTAGAGAAATTACGTGTGTTTATAAATATTTGAGTGTATTTAGATCTAGATTATGAAATGTATGTTAGATTTATCTAATCTTTTCTGAGCTACAATTAATTGTTATTTAATTTGTGAAAAATTAGTTAATTGTGATTATGATAGGATGCATATATAAGTTTTGTTTTTAGTTAATTAATCTCTTTTATAACTAAAGGATGAGTATCTGAAATCTGATTGGTGTGGATAAAAGTGTGAACTTTAACCTTGGGTCCATAATAGGTTGGGACTAGGGTTATATATATATTATATGATTAGGTTCTCTCTGTAATCACAATAAGAATCAGAAACATAACGGCTTCACAATTTGCCTCATTGAGAGTTGTGAACAGGAGCAGTGACGGAACATCATAGTGACAGGGGGTTGCCATGACCCCCTCAAAATTCTCAATTTTGTTTTAAATATTAAATTAAAATATATAATTTGTTATAAGTATTTTATAATAATAAAATGTAGTTAATTAACAACTTATTCAAATTGGTAGGATGATCAGGTATTATTTTTGCAGTCTAAGATATCAAATTTTGATGTGGTATTTTTTTAAAATTTATGAAACACGAGAGTTTAACTTATTTTTAACCGTTTATTAATCTTTTTAATAATAATTTTTTAAACAAAAATGTGAAATTCACGTGTTGAACCCATGTTTTATAATTAAAAATATAAAAAATATAATTATTTTAGCATAAAAAATTTATATAATATAGACAGAATAGTTAAAATTTACTCTATTTGTTTATTATTATTATAAATAAAATTTATTTAAATTTATTAAACAATAATATATATTTTACATTGGCCTCTTATAATTTTTGATTTGGTTCCACTATTAGACGAGACTGTGAGATACAAAAGAATATTCGGTCATTCATACTTTCGAAATTCGAATCATGACTTTAACAAGTAAGTATTGATATTCTAATTTTATATAATCGATAGATAAAATTTTCCGCTTATATTGTAGGGCTCGTAATGAATATATAAGATCGTAGATGAATTCACAATTTAAGTTTTTATGCCAATGAATATAATATTTAAATACAAATTGTGTTGTAATACAAAATTTTAGAATAACCATCTTGATTTATTAAATAAAAGAAAAAAAAATAAACAATGAATATTTTAGAGTATAAGTTGAATCCATAACCATGAATATAATATAGTCTTATCTAAAAGGTTAAATTTATAAAATATTTATAACAATTTTAATATATTATATTCATAAATTATTATTTTCTTAAATATGTTCTAAACCTAAAATTTTGAGACCTAAAATCTTATCGTAAGCTATTTAATCCTTGAACCGATCATTTATCAAAATAATTATATTTAACGACAAAGTTGGACCAACAATACCTATGATTATTATATCAACTATAGTTGATTTCTAAAACTTTGAAACCATGAGATTTTAATATTAAAAGAATTTAGAAAAAATAATAATTTATGCATGGAATTCAAAAGTAAAAAGGTGATGAGTCATGGAGTCATGGTGGGGAGGTCTTCGGTGGAAGAGTCACAATCGAATGGACCTTTATTTCCTTTGATTCTGCTCCAGAAATAAAGTGATGGTTTTATATTCTTTATTTAATTAATAAACACTGTTATGTAGTAACACCTTTTTCGCTTTTTATGTGAAATTATTCGTTACTATATGTTATGTGCCATAAATTTGTATTCCTTTTGCATATAGTCATATGTATTAGACTCTAGGATTATATAAGTATTTTATATTGTGAATGAAGGATACATCAGCATTCCATGCTCCCATGTAAGGACAGAGTAGAAGATTCAGTATACCCTTATGCACATATGAAGAGGGTGGAATAAATTCATACTGCATATGTAAATCAAATACTCGAGTTCGAGTGATAAACGATTTCATGCTAAAAAACAAAGATTTCATAGCTAATTATAGGTATTTAATTAAAAAGACAGATTGTGTATATTATAGGAATATTTGTTTTTCTTAAATTAGAATATTTTTTATTTTGTACAGTGAGTTGTAACTATATATTCCACCTCGTGGGTGATGAAAGAAATATCTAGAAATTGAAATACTTTTCAATTTCTAACATGGTACCAGAGCAAGACCGATTCTGCCTGTAGTTGGAAAAACAATCGAACTAAAAGTTGTAATCCGTATCTATTTTTTCCTCTAATTTTTCCCTTTTCATATTCCTTTTTGTTCTCCACCAAAACCTTCCATGGAAAACCTAAACAGGCTCACCTCACCCAAAACAAACTCCTCATCTGTTGAAAAACAAAACCACTCATCAAACCCACTAAATCAAATAATTGTTCACCAAAATAATTTTGTCTTCCCAATAGTGCTATCCTAGATAAAACCAATTATCCATTATGGTCTCAACTCATGGAAATGTGTATTGATGTTCACAACAAAGGTGGGTACTTGACTGAAGAAATAAAAAAGAAAACCTGCACTAGGAGATTTTAACCTTGGATCATGGATTACAGATAATCACAAAGTAAGATGTTGGTTGATTGACTAAATGAGTCCATCACTAATGCAAAGATTTATTTGCATTCCCATTGCGCTTGAAATTTGGGATGTTGTATTGAAAACCTTCTATGACGGATCTGACGAAACCTGCCTATTTGAATTTAATTAGCGATCATTTTCAACCAAAAAAAAGTGGTCAACCTTTATCAACCTATTATAATGAACTTGTTGTTAATTTCAAGAAATTGATCACAAGACTGTTTCTCAAGAGGGAACTGTTGAAGGTGTAGTCCATCTACATTCTGCAATAGCGAGGCTTCGAGTTCATATATTTTTGTGTGTCCTTGATTCTAATTTTGATCATGTTCGTGGGGGAGATATTACGAAAAGGTCCAAAACTTGACTTAGAGAGTACGTATGCGTATGTCAGACGTGAAGTTCAACAAAGGCAGACAATGAGAGGCTTTCTTCTGATCTCTGAGAATGCTGCTATGCTAACCAATCAAACTCGCCATCTTGGTTCTTCATCGAAGAATCGAAACACTCAACCTAACATAAAGTCCAGCGGCTTGGTTTGTACTTACTATGGCAAAACAGACCATTCAAAGCAATGATGCTATGAAATCATTGGTTATCCTCAATGGCGGGATTTTACAAAGAAACCAAAAAAGAAGATTGATGGGAAAGCCATGGTGACCTTTACACAGGAGAACATATCCTCACAACCTACAACAAATGTTGTTCACTCAGATATTATTGGTAAGGCACATGTGTTCTCTGTAACCTCAAAGAATAGTACTTGAATTATTGATACAGGTGCATTTGATCATATGACTAGTGATTATAGTCAGTTACAATCCCTTTTCCATCCCTTCAAATCATTATTTCCACTACTAATGGTAGTACCTCCCCTATTACTGGTGTAGGGTCTACAATACTTTATAAAAACATTACCTTGGATAAAGTTCTTATTGTGCCAACCCTTGAATGTAATCTACTGTTTGGTAGCTGTTGCACCCCAAAATTTGCCCAACATTTCTTTACCTAGCTTGTGTTTCATTTCATTCACATTAGCATTATCATTTGCATTTCATTGACATGTATGCAGGAGATCAAGAGGTATGATTACCAATTAAGAGATACACAAGAATATGAAGCTAAGAATTTTATTCAGATGTTCAAGGGTTGATATCCTTGTCAGAGAGGTTAAAAGATCCTCAGAGAGAGTGTTTGAAGCCAAGTGTGTAGGTCTCCTAACTTGAGAGTTGTGGAAAGCCATCAGATGATTCTGAGGCCATGAAGTTGGACTTGAGGTCTTGAGAGAGCTCATGAGAAGTGTTGAAGATCAATTTGAGGCCTAAACATGTCATTGTGCAAGATTAAAAAGACTCAGCCATGAGTGGTGCAATTAGGGTTTGACTGGGTCAACCCTAAGTCAACTGATGATTTGAAGAAGGTTGAGACCTAATTCAAGAGCCATGTGATCATGGATTGATACATTGGGATGTTATAAGGATGATTCCAAAGTTAACTCATCATGATTGAGGAGTTTGAGAAGTTTCAGGCTAGGGTTTCTAAGACTTGACAGTGTAAAATCCCCTGGCCTGACCCCTGACTTCAAGACTATTTAACTCAAGATATGATTGTCATCTCATCTTGACCCCAACATGATTGTTGTAGGGCATGATCTTAGCTTTAATTTGAGTACTGTAAGTCCTTTATAGGGTTTATAGAAATCAAGTTATGAGCCAGACAAGTTACAAGTCATCTGAGGCATGTGAATTTGGAGCTTGAAAGTTACCCAACTTGCATGAGACTTTTTCCCTAGAAGGATGATTCCTATGAACTTT